GGTTTACCAGCCAACTTAAATTTTGATGCTATTTGTTTAACTACCTCTTTCCCAGTCCCCTGCCCCTGGAGAAGGTCACTATCTCCAGGTTGTACCTGATCTCGCACTCCCTGAGAAGCTAAGTAGGACAGAGCCTAGTCAATACCTGCAATAGTGACTGCCTGGAGAACATTGTGTCCTCCCTGGTGCCCTAGAGACGGCTCCTCGGCCTTATCTGTACACTACAGCCATCGTCCCTGTTTATAGCTCTAACAATTAATAAACCTTTTCAATGCCTATAGTCATGCATTTGGATCCAGTGTTAGGGAGGAGGGGGATCTGACACTGAGGCGACTCATGCCCAGTACTTCTCAGCAAAATAATGCAATTATCATGCATCATATAACAAAACTTCACCAATATCTGTCATATTTAGCTCTCATTAATACTGATAAGCATCACATTTTGAATCTGGCTGGAGTAGCCAATCAGATTCCTGCCACCCCTTGGCTCTGTCCATGGGCCTTGCACATAAGCAAAGTTTTAATCTGTGTATTAGGCTTTAGGTGTTCAATACATTTAGCTTTTTACAGTTATTTGCATATAAGGCTTCTCCACCTGCTCACTGAAAGCACTACTTTCAGGCAGCAGCCACCATTAATTACATGGGTGAGCCTGAATCATTGCTGCTACAACCCCTCCCCGCTGCACAATTCCTGCACCAAATGTAAACACAGGCCTTGGGCTCCCTATAATTATTAACACATTGTCCAAGGCAGATCGAGTATAATGTGCAACCGATTCAGGAGAACTTACAACTGCCAGGGAGCTGAATATCACTACATGCTGCTTTTACAACACTGTTTAAACTGGTCCCATGACAACCAAGACTGTCTGACCTGTAGCTCTGGCCCATCCAGCTTGTCCTAAAGTTCCTTTGTGTGTGTCAGTAGTGGATGTTGTCAGACAGGACATGCCTATGATGACACCTCATTCAATCAAAATATGGTTCTGAGAAAGAATACAAAGAAAAAAAACATAAGGGTGAATCCTATGCTTGATGAACTGAACAATTACGTATTGATAAGGATGAGGCACATGGGTGTGTTTGAGGACTGGAGCACTGGATCTTTTAGTCCTGTTGCCTATGGCAACTGGAGGATGCACTGTCCTGGGTTAGGAACCTCTATGGGGTATAGGAGGCTGAAGGAGTCAAAGAAAGGGTTGTGGCACAAAACAAATGACTGTAAAGTAGATTATACTTCACATGTTTGACAGACACCTGTCATGGGTAATGTCTTTGTGTTTACATGCTTTACCTGAAACAGATAACAGAAAGAATGTTTAAACATTTAATTATTCTTGTTTAAAGATTTTTAGATGAGTTAGATGAGAAGATAGATACCACTTTCATGTTGGTTCATTAAGTACTACAACCAGCAGCTGCTTCGTTTGAAGTTCAGTCAAAAGTGAACAAGCACCAGCACCCCAGTGCCCACTTAATAAAACCTTATATCATCAGGAGTATCCGAGGTAGGCACATTTTTTAACATCTGAAGGAGACTAAGTTCATTAATTAACAAGTTTTTATCTTGTTTAATTTCTACACAAAATAAAGTTTAATCAACAATCAATTTTGCAGGGAGTTATGTCCTGCGTTTTTGCTGTTTTCTTTGTTATGAGCAGTTATCAGGCACCAAGTGAAGACTCCAGGAAGTCACTGCTCCCCATCAAGAAATGATCCCTCACATAACCCACAGTAAAACAGTTAATTGTTGTTTATACTTCAGGTTTTGTACAGAATAAGTTAACATATTATAAGAAAGCTTTAAAGGTGCTGATACATATATTTTGTTACCTTTGGGCAGAACCTAGTTTTTTTTTTATATCCATGCATGCTTTATAATTTCTGCCAAAACATCTGAATCACTTTAACCCCTGTGCTCTGTTGGGGTCTGTGGGACCCCAATTCATTTTTCACCTTAAATTCACCAGATTCTGCACATATCTACACTGGAAATCAAAATAACATTTAAACACATTTGTACAAACATGATGACAAAAGTCTTGAAAGTGAAACTTTGACTGCTTCACTTGGCCTCTGGACTCTTTAAGGAAGCATGCCTTCTGCAAACTCCTCAGCTCTATGGAAACAACCGTAGGCAGACAGTGAGTGCCTGAGGTGTGAGAAGAGCAAAAATGAGAAAGTGTCTGTTTGACACTGGATCACACAATGTTAGTATATGTGTGTCTTTCACACAATCGGTGCTGCTTTTAGTAAGCAGAATAACAGTGGCATGACACAAAATCCAGAGGTTATACATTGACTTCACTACATTTCATAGTATAATATTGTACTTTTTACTCCACTACATTTATCTGATAAATTTACTTGCTTTTCAGAATCAGATTAATGCAACTAAATCCAATGGAAGGTTTTATTGATCTCTGGTGGGACGTTCACAAGTGACCCAGATTAGAAGCATATAAAGTAGTTAGCTTTTAGCTAAATGTGATGAACACAATAATGCATCTAACTATAATCCAGTGATATGATATACATTAATGTGAATTGTGCCATTCTGCATAATGAGTAGTTTTACTTTAAAAACACTTTGATGCTAATACCATCCTACATTTTCTTAAGCAACATTTTGAATGCAGGAGTTTTACATTACTTTTTACATTGTGGTATTGCTACTTTTACTTAAGTAAATCTTCTTCCACCACTGTGGAAAACACATTACAGGTTTTTCTGCTATACGTCATTAAATATGGCATAAGCAATAGACTCCTATGTGTTGAAATGCACGTTGTCTGTATGTGATGATTTCCTGGTTTGCTGAATGGAGAACTGAAGCGATTAAAATCAAAGAGGAACGCCTGAGTAAACAAGTGACAGAGGAACTGCCAGTGAACTCTGTTTAAAAGTATTGTTTGATAGCACCCCCTTCAAAGGTGTACAATAGTCTGGTCTACCCCCACCCCGTGACATACAATGGCAGTACTCTGGGCTAAAACATGAAAGAAAGCATATAGCAGGTCTGCTTGAGCTTTCACTGGAAACACACTTAAAGTGAATCACCTCTGGAGACCTGATGTAACTGGTAGTGGTGATGATGACATAGAGGAACTGACATAAATGCCTAGTTGTATCAATGAGGTTTCAGGGTAATTGTGTAAATGTGAAGAAACACATTCAGAACACAAAGACTGTATGAAAATTGCCACTGCAAATAGTCACTGGGAAACATTTTACTTGACAAACATAATTGTAGACTCTACCTGGGTAAGTAAGAGTGACATTACAAAGTCTTAAATTGTGTCCCTTAACTGAGAACCACAGGTGAGCCTGACAGCATTTGACGCCAGCCAGTGTGTGCAGTACATCTGCTGCTGAGTGCAGTGACAGCTGCATAAAAGGTCTGTGACATGTGCAGCACGATTCACTGGCTCAGCGCTGATGTAACATTATGGGCTGTTTCAAACTGCTCTCCTTTTCCATGTCTCCTCTCCTTGATTCTTGCTGAGAAAATAAAAACCTTTGTAGTCATAAGCAAACAAGATCATACTTGACACCGGCACAGGCACTGCCCTTAATTGTTCAAATTAAGCTCTGAAAATGCAAGAATTTCCTGTAAATTGTGCTTCAAATTCCCCAAAAAATATAGTGGAAGGTGACAGCAGTTTCAGGCAAGACAACTGGCTGTAGCATGTGTGTGTCTCTCTTAGGGTAACTGCCTGTCACTGTCCTTTATGTTGGACACATCACATGTACTGCCTTCAGCACAGCAGCAGGTCAAACTTTAAATCAGCAGCCACAGAACAAATACCACATGAGCAA